CCCCGGCAGCAGGGATGCTGGCACTGGTGGAGGCTTGAGGCCTTTCCTTCCGACTCAAATGTTTTTCCGCTCAGGGATGGGACCCCCCCCCCCTTCTTCTCCCTCGGGGGGGCTGGGGGATGGGCTGCGCTGGAGAATTGATAATGTTAGTCACGTCCTTGTTTGTGGCCCGAGCAGACGTCCCCCGGCGCAGGGCCTGGCGCCAGCGCCAACACATGGTGCAGTCATACAGCAATGGGCATCCAGCCGCCGCTAGGCCGCCGGGCCTGTCCGTCAGACAATCTACTCAACACATTTGACAACCGCTCACCTGACAGAACCGTTTCTTTTTTACAGATTAAGGCAAGTTAACAGAAATATGATAGTTTTGGACCATATTCGATTGAATTATCTGAAAACCGGCCCGCCCCGAGAGAGCCTTGGGATGCTGCTCTCCGTGCCTCGTTATAGAGCCTCTAGGAGGAGCTAGTAAGCTACCTAAATATGACCACATAATAAACGGCTAAAATTACCCTGAGAATGTTTATATTCAAGTTAGTTACTAACCTGAATCTGTAATAGAAAAATGGCACAAAAGAATCGGGTAAGGGGTTTCACCGTGGAGAGCCCGAGTGCTTGAGTGTGAGTGAATGAGAGGAAACTGAGAAAACGGAAGGAGAGGGGGGGGGGAGTGGGGAGAGAATGGAGAGCGAGAGAGGCTTTTGTCAGCCCGCTGCCGCTGGTTTGGGCTGGGGAGTGAACGTCCCCCGGCCGCCACGCTCTCACCCAAAGCAGCTGCGCCCGCTGCGCACGGCCGCCTCGACAGGTGCGCAGCTGCCCCGGCAAGGTGGCGGCCGAGGCCGGCCGAGGCCCTCCACTGCTTCGGGGCAAACACGGGAGGGCCTCATTAGGGCAGGCGATCGACAGCGACGAGAAACGCGGGCCACAATGCAAGAGCGAGTCATAAAATCAAGGCTCAAGCAAGGAAGCAACATCAGCAACATCACAACACCAACACCAACAACATTCTCTGTCTGTCTGTCTGTCTGCCTGTCTCTCTTCTCCCTCTCACTAAACGAGAGAATTGAAGCATTTAAGCGCGCGCCCCCTGCGAGTCAGCTGTGCTGTGAGCGGAGCGCTATGCAAATCTGAAACACCGAGTCGCGTCACAAGCTCCAAACTGGCCCCGTTGGCCCCACTGGGGCGGGGCGAGGCCGACGACGGTGCGGCAAGAAAAATAGAGACGAGCGCGGTAATTGGTCGCGAAGGTTTTGTCTCGGAATTTGTGCTGGTTACAGGGTGAGTTGGGAGGAAGGGGGCGCTGCAGGGAGGGAGGGG